GAAATGAAGGCTATTCCATGCGAGAAATTGCCAAGAAACTGAAGATATCGTACAACGCTTTGTACTACTCCCTTCACAGAACAGCGCAAACTGGCTCTAACCAGAATAGAAAGAGGAGTGGGAGGCCCCGGTGTACAACTGAGCAAGAGGGCAAATACATTTGAGTGTCTAGTTTGAGAAACAGACACCTCACAGGTCCTCAACTGGCAGCTTCATTAAATAGTACCCGCAAAACACCAGTCTCAACGTCAACAGTGAAGAGGTGACTCCGGGATGCTGATCTAGGCAGAGTTGCAAAGAAAAAGTCCAGTGTCTGTGTTCTTTTGCCCATCTTAATATTTTCTTTTTATTGGCCAGTCTGAGATATGGCTTTTTCTTTGCAACTCTGCCTAGAAGGTCAGCATCAGGAGTCGCCTCTTCACTGTTGACGTTGCCCTTTAAATACATCACTCCTTGCTTCAATTCACACATCGCCACACCCACCAAATGGGAGCAAACATACCTCATAGTCCTGTTCAAGAGCTTACAAGAGACTTTTGTCGTTCAGTACAAAATGTTCAGCAACGTAGCAAACGTTCAAGCGAACGGAACGCACCTCTGCCGTTAGTGTACCATGGGTACCCTTTACTCTAGTTGTTTTCTAGATAATCAATCAATCAAATTGTATTTATCGCATGCGCCCGAATACAACAAGTGTAGACTTTACAGTGAAATGCTTAATTGCTAGACCTTCCCAACAATGCAGAGTTAAAAATAGAAAAATGTAAAACAAAAACTGTAACACAGAGGAATAGATACAAAATAAATAACAAAAATAAGGCTATATGCAGCCAGTACCAGTACTGAGTTAATGTGCGGGGGTATGAGGTAGAGGAGGTAGATATGTACATGTAGGTAGGGGTAAAGTGACTTGGCAATCAGAATAGATAGTAAACAGAGTAGCAACAGCGTATGTGATGAGTGTTACAGTGTGTGTGTGTGTGTGTGTGTGTGTGGCATCAGTATGCATTTGTGTGTGAGTATATGTAGTGTGTGTGTGTGTGTGTGTGTGGCATCAGTATGCATTTGTGTGTGAGTATATGTAGTGTGTGTGTGTGTGTGTGTGTTATGGAGTGGCAGCGTGTGTGTGAGTGTGTGGGTAGAGTCCAGTGAGTCAGAGTCAGACATCTCCTGGTGCAATATAGTGTTGCATGTTGTTGTATGTTTTGCCATTTTACAGTTGTATTGATCGCTTCTTGAGAGAGTACGTTCCTTGTACTAACACTACATTTAACACATGTTCTAGTAGAGATACATCTACACTGAGCAAAAATATAAATGCAACATGTAAAGTGTTGGTCCCATGTTTCATGAGCTGAAATAAAAGATCCCAACCCCAAATTTTTTTTATTTTTTTAAAGAGCTCTTGGAAAATACATTTAGGAAAATAAGTTTTGAACTCTAGAAAGAGTTCCAAGTCAGGAACTCTGGCCTCTTGCTAGAGCTCCGACCTGAAGATCACTGATGTCATGATTCGACTTTGTTTTTTTCCAGAGTTTTCAGTTGTCTTGAAAGCACCATAAATCCAGAGAATGCCAGACTTTGATGACAAAATTTGCCCACAAGAAGGACCATCGCTCCACCTTCATGTTAAAGTGAACACAGCACAACAAGGTGAGTCCAAAAATTGTTTGTATGCTGCTGCATAAATGATGTAATATGCCAGGGAGATATGTATACTGTAGCTAAGAAAGTAATACTAAGTGTATGTTCTGTAGTAAGCTGTTAATAGCCCATGTGCCTCACCCTAATAATTTGGTTTGTTTACCCCTCTTAATTTCTCCTACGGTTCTGACTTGGTGGTGCACATGTAGCCTATAACCTGTTTTAGAGAAATGTTATCATCGAATATTGTAAGAGCTTTCATTGTCTGCTTATATGCCCCCTTTATTTATTCTACGGTTCTGACTTGGTGTACAGTGAGAACATTGTAAGAACGGCCCATGTTCTGAATTCTGTCGCTGTACATTTCAAAAGTGCTGAACAAATAGTTATATTGTCACGTCCGTCTTAGCTCACTCATTAAATCCCATTTTCATTTCTTTAATGGAATTAAATACATTACATTGGTCCAGATATGAGAACACACATGCAAACACACGCACCAGGGTCTGGCTTTTCCTGCCTCACCATAAGTTCTCACCATTGACCACACACCCTTCTTTAACAATTTGGAGCAGATAGAGGATCAGTTTGGCTTTTTCTATATTTTATTGACAAGGGAGACCTGGTCAGTGATCCTCAATCTGCCCTCCTCAGGCTTTGACACTGCAGGCCTACATCGTCCAGAAGGGTCTTTCATTGAAGGACGGGGAAGAAGAGGAGGGTCTCAGCTGTTGTTCAAGCATTCTGATATGTTCTGCCCAGTTGTCCCTCAAACAGGCCTGCAGGTGCCATCAACCAGCCTGCATACCATCTGTGAGTTAACTGTGAGGATGGTCAAGGAAGAGAGGGAGAGCGAAAGAGCGAAAGAGAACAATATCACTGTTGAGCAGTCCATTTAAAATATTGTAAAACTGTTCTAGTCATATTGTCTCAGCACAGTAGGGTACAGAAGGCTGAGAGAGCTATGCAGACTTACAGTCATGGGGACAGGATTACTGCTTCTCATCAGGGTGTTGTAGGAGGTGGTAGTGCAGGACCTTCTCATCAGGGTGTTGTAGGAGGTGGTAGTGCAGGACCTTGAGAACATAATGTCCACTGGATAGGGCTGAGTGACTGAACTGTGAGAATGGTCCTGTGGGCATGTGTGCGAGAGAGAGAATCAGTAATCAGGTAATATCAGACTGTCTCCGTATCATTGATCATCAGCCCACCTGACAGGGGGTATGTATACATTCAGAGAAGTAAGCCAATTGTTGTAGCAATAGTTGTGTTCACAACTGAAGAGTACAGCCTATGTCTGCCTTTCAGGGAGCAGGAGAGGATGTTGGTGAAGTATACCCAGACCAATAAAAAGGCTGATTTTAACTTCCTGTGTTGGATGATGTAACTACATGAAGTTCATGATGATCTGCTCAGATGACATACTGTGCCCTTCTCATTCCGGCACGTTCAGGACACACACACACACATCAGCAGTGATTATACCTTAATTGGATATTGTTGTATGTCTAAACAATAGCTAAGTTAGCTATGCAAAGTGTCAGATAGGTAACCATTTACATTAACTGCAGTTCATTATTACTCGTCAGCCAGACAGAAGATCTAGCTAGGTTAGCTACAGAAAGTAATGGAGAAATGTACCTTTCTGCAGCAGGTAGCTCTGGCCGGGCAGCTTCATCTTGTAGCAGGACTAACTTACTTCCACTAGCTACTACTAACTAGCATGACTATAGTCAGTAGCCAGCTAGTGCAAAACAACTTTGTTCAGTTGTTGTTGAGTTTATTCTATTGGCATGCTAACTTCATGATAAGTTCTGCATCTTAGCTAACATTAGTATTTTTAAGTCTAATCCTTTCTTTGTGCTGCCAACCTAGGCTGTAAACGCCCCTCTAAGCCCCATGAATATTCTATGAGGGGGGCGTGTATTTCCGGGTATGAACAAAAACCAAAACATTGAATACATTTTGTTATTTGTTTTCCTTTATTCCAATTTTGAGAAAAGTCATTTGTCAAATAGAAAAATGAAAAAACAAACTGTTTTCTGTTTTTCACTCTCCGTTTTGACTCGGAAATCAAAATAACAAAACGTACACGCCACGGACCGAAAAGGAATTGCCAACATGACATTGATGTATTATTTGCTCATTTACATTTAAGATTTAATAAAGTCGAAGAAATACTTCCATAGTGGTTGGATAATACTGTTTCAAATACTGTAGGTGTAGCTCTGGGGTGTACTATGTATGTTTGATATCTATGTCAAGTATCTTTTTTTATTCAGCACTGTTCAATAGTTATGTGCAATAAGAATTTCATACAAAATGCTGGTACAGTGATATTCCTTTATTATGGTCATTTACCTGTACTTTACACAGATGTGACAATGCTGATTTCTCCAAACACCCTGAGAGATCCCACAAATACAGCCCAGCGCAGGTGGAGGAGATGATCGTGAGACTATTTGATATCTCAGCCTGAGGTTGAGAACCTGCTTAGTTAGGTGATAATGTAAGGCCTTCACACTGCCTCTATAGGAAATAACACACTGTTGATTTGTTTCCACACTACTAATACTACAGCTACAGTCTCCATTACATGTATTATAATAAATAATAATATAATATGCCATTTAGCATACGCTTTTATCCAAAGCGACTTACAGTCATGTGTGCATACATTTTTACGTATGGGTGGTCCCGGGGATCGAACCCACTACCCTGGCGTTACAAGCGCCATGCTCTACCAATTGAGCTACAGAGGACCACGGTATTCATGTCTAATTGCTAAATGTATTATTCCACATATGACTGTCCAGTTTTAAACATGTTGAAATAAATCTTGTTAAAGCTCTAGTGAAGAATACACACATCTATTTATTTCACACAGAAACTCAAAAGCTAGCTTCTTGCTAGTTCTTGCTAAATTTGTGAAGACCCAAACCATAGAGAATGATAGGCCTCTAGTGGCCAAACGCCTGTATTAGCATGGGCAGCACCATGGGTCTTTAACCATTTTGAAGTAATCAACTGGGTTAAGGAAGGATCACATGATTCCATCCTGGTCATCAGTAGGGATCAGCCAATGAATTATACTCGTGAGCAAACATTCCATAACTGCAGTAAATTGCCAACCTTGACTTTATACCTGTTCAAATTACACACTACATGTGGCAGTATGCACCCTTTCAGTTTGTTTGCCAACTCATAGAAGTAGTAGTAGTAGAAGAAGAAAATTGGCTACTTAAATGGAGATTGCCTCAATGGCGCTGCCGGTGCGCTCACAGACATCATAATGGGAATGATATAGGAATGCTTTCTCTATCATTCTCTAGGACCCAAACAGACAAATAAAGAATTTAGTTCTCCCAGAATTCTAAATGGTTGATCTCACACCGAGAACCAAAGGAGAAATATAAAATGGCGGCTGTATAAACAATGAGGATGGTGAGATAGATACAGAAACAGATCAAGTCTACTTTGTTGGCAAAGCGATGGTGTCTAACTTCTTTCTGGTCTTGTGCAGCCATTTTGTTGAGAAACTTTACCACCTTCTGGAGGGGTGAATTCTTCTCTTCCTCTGAGGCTTTCAGTTTGATGACAGTAATATCAGGCCTGGATTCTAGACAAAGTAAATATAATATGAGTTAATATAACACGATAAACTAGGGGTGTGCCGAACTCATCATACTGGTATTCATAATCGTATTTACTCGTGATCGGAAAACCCGGAAGTGCGCTTTAAATGATGGTAAAGACTATACCTCAAGCGCAAATTAATGCGCTGTCACTCAGAGCGCATCCGTATGTTCTTTCACTCATCCACACAATGTTCAAAGAAATTATCCTGACAGCTGAAACTGCACATGCTTATGCCTATGTAATGGGGAATTTAAGATGAAATAATGTTAAACTCATACCTGTTGATGACCTGTTAAACTGCCAGTGTCAAATGTCTGCCAGTGTTGAATGTTATGGTTAAAGTTTGACGCCATTCTGGGCCGGGAACACTCTGATAATGTATCTGTGAGCCTGTGTGATTCTATAGCAGCTGATGTTGTCTGTATGGTGTCAATAGCCAGGGTAGCCTAGTGATATTGTTGACAAAACAGTTGTTCCTGATAGTGGTTATAAGGGCCTTCTTTAGGTAGATTTAGTGATATTGTTGACAAAACAGTTGTTCCTGATAGTGGTTATAAGGGCCTTCTTTAGGTAGATTTAGTGATATTGTTGACAAAACAGTTGTTCCTGATAGTGGTTATAAGGGCCTTCTTTAGGTAGATTTAGTGATATTGTTGACAAAACAGTTGTTCCTGATAGTGGTTATAAGGGCCTTCTTTAGGTAGATTTAGTGATATTGTTGACAAAACAGTTGTTCCTGATAGTGGTTATAAGGGCCTTCTTTAGGTAGATTTAGTGATATTGTTGACAGACCAGTTGTTCCTGATAGTGGTTATAAGGGCCTTCTTTAGGTAGATTTAGTGATATTGTTGACAAAACAGTTGTTCCTGATAGTGGTTATAAGGGCCTTCTTTAGGTAGATTTAGTGATAGTGTTGACAAAACAGTTGTTCCTGATAGTGGTTATAAGGGCTTTCTTTAGGTAGATTTAGTGATATTGTTGACAGACCAGTTGTTCCTGATAGTGGTTATAAGGGCCTTCTTTAGGTAGATTTAGTGATATTGTTGACAAAACAGTTGTTCCTGATAGTGGTTATAAGGGCCTTCTTTAGGTAGATTTAGTGATATTGTTGACAGAACAGTTGTTCCTGATAGTGGTTATAAGGGCCGCCTTTAGGTAGATATAGTGGTATTGTTGACAGAACAGTTGTTCCTGATAGTGGTTATAAGGGCCTTCTTTAGGTAGATATAGTGATATTGTTGACAGAACAGTTGTTCCTGATAGTGGTTATAAGGGCCTTCTTTAGGTAGATTTAGTGATATAGTTGACAGAACAGTTGTTCCTGATAGTGGTTATAAGGGCCTTCTTTAGGTAGATTTAGTGATATTGTTGACAGAACAGTTGTTCCTGATAGTGGTTATAAGGGCCTTCTTTAGGTAGATTTAGTGATATTGTTGACATAACAGTTGTTCCTGATAGTGGTTATAAGGGCCTTCTTTAGGTAGATTTAGTGATATTGTTGACAAAACAGTTGTTCCTGATAGTGGTTATAAGGGCCTTCTTTAGGTAGATTTAGTGATATTGTTGACAAAACAGTTGTTCCTGATTGTGGTTATAAGGGCCTTCTTTAGGTAGATTTAGTGATATTGTTGACAAAACAGTTGTTCCTGATAGTGGTTATAAGGGCCTTCTTTAGGTAGATTTAGTGATATTGTTGACAAAACAGTTGTTCCTGATAGTGGTTATAAGGGCCTTCTTTAGGTAGATTTAGTGATATTGTTGACAGAACAGTTGTTTTTTTCCTTCTTTCCTTCTTTCTTTCTTTCTATTTACAGCGCTTCACACTGTTTGTGAAAGAGAGATGCGTGATGGCAGCTGAAAATTACTTTTTTCCAATCACGGATAATTACAAAAAACACTCGTATCATAATCGTATTTGGAAAATCCGTTAAGTTGTATAAGGACGTTTTGTTAACGTCTTCTTTGGCAACCAGAAAAATATATCTTGCTCTGTGGATAACTGAGATGACAGAAGAATTAAAAAGTTTACCCTCTTCATTGTCTGTGTCTTTAAGGAGTGAGTCTTTGGACTTGGAGAGGCTGCAGGGCCAGAGAGTGCCACACTTAGCCAGACGTGTGAGCACCATAGACTGCAACATGCTCAACACCAGGATGACCAAACAGAAACAGAAGTGCTTTCCTATGGAGAACAACAAGAGAGAGAGATGTGTGAGTGTTATATGGACGCACTCTACACACACACACACATTGTGATGTTGTGGTATTGTGGATTTTATATTGTACATTTGTAATCATAGAGTAATGTCTTGTATGATGTCATGTTTTATTGATGAAGACTGTTGTGTTTTGTTGTGATGTAACTTTGAATCCTAATAAATACTAAATAAATACTAAATATGGTGGCAGAGAGGGACTGTATACATGAAACTGATGTCAGTGTGCTGCTAACAGTATAGCATCCTTCACTGTCTCTGTAATATATCGGGCTAGAACTGGTGATCCTCTGCTCACAAACACATGACCGTCCTCCTTGACAACGTACCAACCAATTGAACTATAAAAAAAATATCAAATTGAATAGCTCCCTTGGCAACATTTCAAGCTAGCTGTGGAATGAGCTTACGGCACGTTCTTAACTCCGTTACATACACACCCTTTATAACAAAATGCTGTTTCATTCTGGTGCATTACACACAGGATACTCACGGATGATGGGGCTGCACTGGCCTCCTCCGGGCAGAAGATCCTTGAGGATGATGAGGAACATGATGAAGCTGAGAACCAGTGTAACCTTGAAGGGGATGCGCTTGCCCTTTCCCAGTGGCAAGGTATAGCTCACTACATCAGCCACAATGATCAGTATACTGGGCAGGACCAGGGTCAGAAACGGGGTTTCGGACCGCATTTTCAGCGACACCTGTGAAGACAGACAGGTAGGCCAGAGAGGAAGAGTTTTTGCATCTAAACGTTTGTTTGACATTGAAAGGGAAGAGCGTTACACTTCAAAATCAAACTGTCAGATGTTTTCAGAATTCAAAAGAAGTCTAATGTCAATGAGTCCACATCCTTCACCATCGGTTGTGTACAGTTGAAGTCGGAAGTTTACATACACCTTACATATACATTTAAACTCAGTTTTTCACAATTCCTGACATTTAATCCTAGTAAAAATTCCCTGTTTTAGGTCAGTTAAGATCACCACTTTATTTTAAGAATGTGAAATGTCAGAATAATAGTAGAGAGAATAATTTATTTCAGCTTTTATTTATTTCATCACATTCCCAGTGGGTCAGAAGTTTACATACACTCAATTAGTATTTGGTAGCATTGCCTTTAAATTGTTTAACTTGTGTCAAATGTTTCGGTTAGCCTTCCAAAAGCTTCCCACAATAAGTTCGGTGAATTTTGGCCCATTCCTCCTGACAGAGCTGGTGTAACTGAGTCAGGTTTGTAGGCCTCCTTGCTCGCACACGCTTTTTCAGTTCTGCCCACACATTTTCTATAGGATTGAGGTCAGGGCTTTGTGATGGCCACTCCAATACCTTGACTTTGTTGTCCTTAAGCCATTTTGCCACAACTTTGGAAATATGCTTGGGGTCGTTGTCCATTTGGAAGACCCATTTGCGACCAAGCTTTAACTTCCTGACTGATGTCTTGAGATGTTGCTTCAATATATCCACATAATTTTCCTTCCTCATGATGCCATCTATTTTGTGAAGTGCGCCAGTCCCTCCTGCAGCAAAGCACCCCCACAGCATTATCCTGCCACCACCGTGCTTCACAGTTGGGATGGTGTTCTTCGGCTTGCAAGCTACCCCCTTTTTCCTCCAAATATAACGATGGTCATTATGGCCAAACAGTTCTATTTTTGTTTCATCAGACCAGAGGACATTTCTCCAAAAAGTAAGATCTTTGTCTCCATGTGCAGTTGCAAACTGTAGTTTGGCTTTTTAATGGCAGTTTTGGAGCAGCGGCTTCTTCCTTGCTGAGCGGCCTTTCAGGTTATGTCGATATAGGACTCGTTTTACTGTGGATATAGATACTTTTGTACCTGTTTCCTCCAGCATCTTCACAGGGTCCTTTGCTGTTGTTCTGGGATTGATTTGCACTTTTCGCACCAAAGTACGTTCATCTCTAGGAGACAGAACGCGTGTCCTTCCTGAGTGGTATGACGGCTGCGTGGTCCCATGGTGTTTATACTTGCGTATTATTGTTTGTACAGATGAACGTGGTACCATCAGGCGTTTGGAAATTGCTCTCAAGGATGAACCAGACTTGTGGATGTCTAGATTTTTTTTCTGAGGTCTTGGCTGATTTCTTTTAATTTTCCCATGATGTCAAGCAAAGAGGCACTGAGTTTGAAGGTAGGCCTTGAAATACATCCTCAGGTACACCTCCAATTGACTCAAATGATGTCAATTAGCCTATCAGAAGCTTCTAAAGCCATGACATCATTTTCTGGAATTTTACAAGCTGTTTAAAGGCACAGTCAACTTAGTGTATGTAAACTTCTGACCCACTGGAATTGTGATACAGTGAATTATAGGTGAAATAATCTGTTTGTAAACAATTGTTGGAAAAATTACTTGTGTCATGCACAAAGTAGATGTCCTAACCGACTTGCCAAAACAATAGTTTGTTAAGAAGAAATTTGTGGAGTGGTTGAAAAACGAGGTTTAATGACTCCAACCTAAGTGTATGTAAACTTCAGACTTCAACTGTACATCTAGCTATGCCTTAACCCCAAATTAATGGGAAAAGATACGCACTGTAAATCTGGAAATTACATGGTGCATATCTTTTCTATTCATTTTCGATTGTGGCATGTAGCTGGATCAACAAAAACAGATGTGATGTGTATTTATCTCAACTGAATACTACTTATGAAAGGTATGAAAACATCAGGCAAATGTTGATTCAAGTGTATTGTCTTTTTTGAGTGTAAATGTTTTTTAAGCTTAAGCAAAATAGGAAGAGTAAAGTATCTTTACATGTCCCTCATAAAAAAACAACAACGGAAATCACCAGGAGCACTCACTAACCCATAGATAGTTGCGATCATCTCTGCCTTCTTTAGCATTGAGTTCCACTGCCTCGGTTAGCCAGTCCCCGCGGTTTGCGCTAGTTTTGCTCACATTCCCAAAGGTCAGGAACATGCCACATCCTGAAGAAAGCAGATATTTGATGCTAGTTCACTCCTTACCATAGCTTATAACGAAACATATTTGTTTATATAAATAGGCATTAGGGGTGTAACGATTCACAACATATTTGGTTCAGTTCATTCCATGATTTTTGGCTCTTGGTTCGGTTTTATCTTGGTTCTCAGGAGAGGATGGAAAAACTAAATGGATGGAAAAACTAGCACATAGAACATTTTAAAATGAGAAAAACTTTTGAATAAAGTAATGAACATTTTAATCCCTCCTCCAGTGGCAGTAGCCTAACTAATATTTCTGAAGGAGCCACTTTGGTGAAACAACGTCACTGGTAGATCCATTCTTACAATGGCTGGTATGAAGTTATAAGGTCATAAATATCAAATCAACGTTTCTCAAGTTCATACTAGTAGTCAATCATGGCCCTAAGAAACAGTTTGATTAATTCTGGCAGGCATATCAAAACAAAACGTCTTTGTTTTGGCAGCCTGCGGTCTATGAGAGAAAAGTGCCACACTAAATATGGAGTTGGCCATGACATTTTGACAATCGCACAATTTCCCCTATCACTCCCATATATTTTTTGTTAGCGGAGGGCTAATGTTAGCTGAAGTTTGTAGTTGTTCTTCAGAGAAAACCGAACCATGGATTACACTTTCTCTTATCTCATAAACTACTTTCAGGGTGAGGAACCATCTAACATCAAGTTGTAAAATCCTGAACTTCCCCTTCAAGTCTAGGCTAAAGCTTACAGGAGTAATCAAATAATAAAAATATTGGAGATTTCTTCCTTTCAGCATACACACTATAAAACACTGCCTCTTATCCTGTCTCATACCGTACAGAACAACATTCTGCCGGGTTTTATAACTCCCGTCTATCCTCATGTAATACTGCTGAAAACATTTCCCCTGCATTTATCTATTTCACGCTACTGCCTTGAACTATACATCGAATTAGAGCTTGCATTTGTTATGTTGTTATATAATTCTTATTTGTGCTATACTTATGAATTTACCTTATTTAGTTTGTGAGATAACTTATATTAAAGATTGTCCATCTTTATTATTATAATTTACAAACGGTGGTGTAATGGTATTTTTTTCTTTTTCCTCCTGAAAACCAAGATAAAACAGAGTCAAGAATCCAAGGACTGAACCAATCCAACATTTTTGTGAACCATTACACCCCTTATATTCATTGTGTCCAGCCAACTAACGAGCACCAAAATAAATACTAGACAGTCAGGAAGCATAGAACATTCTAAAGACGACAAATAAACTGAATTGCAGTAGGCTATACAGATTTTAAAAAGTTGTCGTTGTTTTTGGTAACATCTTGTTTTTAATAAGATCTTTGGTAAGTAATTGTGTGCAAGAACCGTTTAGCAGACAGAATGAGGTTTGAAATTATGCTCTTACCCCTAAGTGCCCACACATTGATTCCGATGGCGCAGAAATCTGAAGCGAAGGGGTAATTGTATAGATTGACCTCACAGCCCACCACAGTATTCATGATGACCATGTGCTCTACGGTCCCATTGCTGTGCACCAGCAAATCCTTGTTGCCGTGCTTCATCGTTGTTTGCACTCTTTAGACATGAGAGGTTGAGGACAGACAACTGAGGATTGATATACTAAAACTGTCACACTTAAACATTTGGCCACTCAAAACATATTAGTACTGTATCTCTAATTCTGTCCATGATTCACTCGCTATTTAGAAGATCACACATACATTTACTGTAATGTTATAAAAGGAATCAAAATAAAACTTGAAAGTACATTTCCTGAAAAAAATGTGGTGTGCTTGCTTGTTTTAAAGTATTTATGTTATTTTAAAGTTTTGAAAATGCTAATGTTGTTTTAATGTTTGTAGCTGAAATGGCTAAAGAGCGGGTAGCATTTAAATGTATACCACTGTGCTCTTATGGTTGAATTGAATTGGCATTGAATCCATGAAGTTTTATGATGATTAATGCTAATCACCACTGTTTATAGTTTATAAAGGTTTTAAAGAATTAGAAGTTAGGATAGCCTGAACATGTGAAAGTTGGTTTGGCATCTCTAGCTTGAATGGTTCAAGAGTTACTGTTGGTGAGTTTTATTTCATGCAAATGTATGCTATGCTTATAGTTATAGTTGATAAACGTTTTGAATAGCTTACTGTGTATTCCTATGGTTCTCATTCAAACCCATGTTAATTTAAATGGTTATAGTTCAGAAAGTATAAAAGCAATCCAAGTTGGGTCGGTTGATTGGTGTTGATAGCTTGACTGGTGTAAGAGCAGTGGCGAATTCAGATACTTTCCATTACATTGTAGTCATTTAGCAGACACTCTTATCCAGAGCGATTTACAGTTAGTGAGTGCATACATTTTCATACTGGCTCCCCGTGGGAATCAAACCCACAACCCTGGCGTTGCAAACGCCATGCTCTACCAACTGAGCTACACGGGACTATCAAGTCTATGTAGCTTTTATGATAATTTAAAATGGTTATAAATGTTATAACAATTCTGAATGCAAACAATCTAAGTTGGTATCTTAAATAGTTTAAGCTCTAGAGCGGGCGGAAGAAATATAAGAAGAAGACGACTATGAGATAAATTTAGAGGTGTGCTTTCCCATCAGCAAGCCACCTAAAAATAAATGAAACATAACATAAATTATTGTAATCTGTTGTAAGTGGACTCACCCATTAGTCACATGGAGTTCAGGAGTCCAGATTTTTCTGACAGGCAGGACCACCATATCATGATGATAGACTGATGTGTCCCATGATAAGTCAGGGTCTTCCCAAGACTAGTTTAGAATCATAATCATGAGTATTATAACAAAATATCACATTTACTTAAATGTCTCCCTGGATTTTTTTATGTGTACTTACCAGCATGACTTGCAGACGACTCTCAAAGCGAAGGTTTTTTGTGTCCTATTAGGAAGAGAATAATTAATCGTCACATAATGATACAACCGTCAATAGGTTATCTCTGACACTCATATTGTACAAAACTCCTCACAATTAAAAGGAACAGAAAGGGACTTACAACAGACAGAGTTTCGTACACTATTGACGGCACACTGATATTTGAGATGCATGATGGAGACTGTGGCTGACTCAGAGCTTCTTTCGCAATCAGCATGCTGGCCAGACATCGACGTGTCGTACAGGATGGTGTGGTTGCACTGGATGAAGTGGCTGCACTTGATGAAGTGGCTGCATTGGATAGAGGGTCTGCTGCAGATACTGTGTAACCAGAGACGGGTATTTAATTTCAGAATAATACATTGGATTTATATAGTGCTTTTCTAGGAACCAATTATGCTTTCCAATAGTTCAACCACACAGAACAAGAAATGACAAACTGAATCTAAATGAAATGGGATAAGGTTGTTGCATGGCTTCATAGTAGTGACTCACTATCTGTGAAAAGTGATCTAAACCTGATACTCTATCACTAGTCCATTATCGCTCCAATACACTACATGACTAAAAGTATGTAGACACTTGCTCGTCGAGCATCTCATTCCAAAATCATGGGCATTAATATGGAGTTGGTCTCCCCTTTGCTGCTATAAAAGCCTCCACTCTTCTGGGAAGGCTTTCCACTAGATGTTGTTACATTGCTGCGGGGACTTGCTTCCATCGATGGGGTTGAGGTCAGGGCTCTATGCAGGTCAGTCAAGTTCTTCCACACCGATCTCGACAAACAATTTCTGTATGGACCTCGCTTTGTGCACGGAGGCATTGTCATACTGAAACAGGAAAGGGCCTTCCCCAAACTTTTGCCACAAAGTTGGAAGCACAGAATCGTCTAGAATGTCATTGTATGCCGTAGCGTTAAGATTTCCCTTCACTGGAACTAAGGGGCCTAGCCCGAACCATGAAAAACAGCCCCAGACCATTATTCCTTCTCCACCAAATTTACAGTTGGCACTATGCATTGGGGGAGGTAGCGTTCTCCAGGCATCCGGCAAACCCAGATTTGTCCGTCGGACTGCCAGATGGTGAAGCTTGATTCATCACTCCAGAGAACGCGTTTCCACTGCTCCAGAGTCCAATGGCGGCGAGCTTTACACCACTCCAGCCAACACTTGGCATTGCGCGTGGTGGTCTTACGCTTGTGTGCGGCTGCTCGGCCATGGAAACCCATTTCATGAAGCTCCCAACGAACAGTTATTGTGCTGACGTTGCTTCCAGAGGCATTTTGGAACTCGGTAGTGAGTGTTGAAACCGAGGACAGACAATTTTTACACGCTACGCACTTCAGCACTCGGGGATCCTGTTCTGTGCGCTTGTGTGGCCTACCACTTCGCGGCTGAGCCGTTGTTGCTCCTAGATGTTTTCACTCACAATAACAGCACTTACAGTTGACCAGGGCAGCTCTAGCAAGGCAGAATTTTACGAACGGACTTGTTAGAAAGGTGGCATCCTATGATGATGGTGCTACGTTGAAAGTCACTGAGCTCTTCAATAAGGCCATTATACTGCCAATGTTTGTCTATGGAGATTGCATGGCGGTGTGGTCGATTTTATACACCTGTCAGCAACAGGTGTGGCTGAAATAGCCAAATCCACTAATTTGAAGGGGTGTCCACATACTTTTGTATATTTAGTGTATCTGCAAATCAGAACAATAAAGATCACATTCTTCTAGTGCAATTTGTGTCTGTTTTAAGAAGAGTAAAATGGAGCCCAATGTCTTACCTGTTAACAAGAGTAGGAAGAAGAGACAACATTTCAGCTTGCTGTGGTCCATGGGTCTCATCCCTGCACGTCCTCCTGTCACAAAGCATATAGAGTCAGTTGGACATTGGTATACAGTCTTAGGAGAAATTAAGACGAGTTTCCTCTAATGAAACTGTTAGAAGAAGGACTGAAAACCTACCTTTAGCTGCTTAGTGATCACCACTTGCCTTCTCCTGTCCTCTCTAGCCAATGCCTCACCTGGGATGACCCTTATAAAGGCTGCTCTGGAACATTTTGTCACAGCAGTTTTCCACGAGAACATACACACCCCTACAAACTGTCTACATGTTAATATGATCCTCGATATTATACAGGATGTCCTTGGCCATAATCCCAAAATAATGAGTTTTTTAATTAACCTCCCAGGATTCATTTCACCCATCCTTTGTAAACAACAACCACAACAGACATGTAATTACAGTGAGGGGGAAAAAGTATTTGATCCCCTGCTGATTTTGTACGTTTGCCCACTGACAAAGAAATTATCAGTCTATCATTTTAATGGTAGGTTTATTTGAACAGTGAGAGACAGAATAACAACAAAAAAATCCAGAAAAATGCATGTAAAAAATGTTATAAATTGATTTGCATTTTAATGAGGGAAATATGTATTTGACCCCTCTGCAAAACATGACTTAGTACTTGGTGGCAAAACCCTTGTTGGCAATCACAGAGGTCAGACGTTTCTTGTAGTTGGCCACCAGGTTTGCACACATCTCAGGAGGGATTTTGTCCCACTCCTCTTTGCAGATCTTCTCCAAGTCATTAAGGTTTCGAGGCTGACGTTTGGCAACTCAAACCTTCAGCTCCCTCCACATATTTTTTATGGGATTAAGGTCTGAAGACTGGCTAGGCCACTCCAGGACCTTAATGTGCTTCTTCTTGAGCCACTCCTTTGTTGCCTTGGCCGTGTGTTTTGGGTCATTGTCATGCTGGAATACCCATTCACGACCCATTTTCAATGCCCTGGCTGAGGGAAGGAGGTTCTCACCCAAGATTTGATGGTACATGGCCCCGTCCATCGTCCCTTTGATGCGGTAAAGTTGTCCTGTCCCCTTAGCAGAAAAACACCCGCAAAGCATAATGTTTCCACCTCCATGTTTGACGGTGGGGATGGTGTTCTTGGGGTCATAGGCAGCATTCCTCCTCCTCCAAACACGGCGAGTTGAGTTGATGCCAAAGAGCTTGATTTTGGTCTCATCTGACCACAACACTTTCACCCAGTTCTCCTCTGAATCATTCAGATGTTCATTGGCAAACTTCAGACGGGAATGTATATGTGCTTTCTTGAGCAGGGGGACCTTGCGGGCGCTGCAGGATTTCAGTCCTTCACGGCGTAGTGTGTTACCAATTGTTTTCTTGGTGACTATGGTCCCAGCTGCCTTGAGATCATTGACAAGATCCTCCCGTGTAGTTCTGGGCTGATTCCTCACCGTTCTCATGATCATTGCAACTCCACGAGGTGAGATCTTGCATGCAGCCCCAGGCCGAGAGAGATTGACAGTTCTTTTGTGTTTCTTCCATTTGCGAATAATCGCACCAACTGTTGTCACCGTCTCACCAAGCTGCTTGGCGATGGTCTTGTAGCCCATTACAGCCTTGTGGTGGTCTACAATCTTGTCCCTGACATCTTTGGAGAGCTCTTTGGTCTTGGCCATGGTGGAGAATCTGATTGATTGATTGCTTCTGTGGACAGGTGTCTTTTATACAGGTAACAAGCTGAGATTAGGAGCACTCCCTTTAAGAGTGTGCTCCTAATCTCAGCTCGATACCTGTATAAAAGACACCTGGGAGCCAGAAATCTTTCTGATTGAGAGGGGGTCAAATACTTATTTCCCTCATTAAAATGCAAATCAATTTATAACATTTTTGACATGCGTTTTTCTGGATTTTATTGTTGTTATTCTGTCTGTCACGGTTCAAATATACCTACCATTAAAATTATAGACTGATAATTTCTTTGTCAGTGGGCAAACGTACAAAATCAGCAGGGGATCAAATACTTTTTTCCCTCACTGTACTACCTGTGACTGGTCAGAAGTGGATATACGGCCACCTGTCATTAAACCCAATAGATTATTAGGCTTAAAGGCCCAGTGCAGTCAAATATGTGATTTTAATGCTATTTCCACACTATGAGGTCGAAGTAACACTCTGAAATTGTGAAAATATGATAAAGCCCTTTTTGTGTAAGAGCTGTTTGAAAAAAAATGCCTGGAATTTCAGCCTGTTCAGGTGGGATGGAGTTTTTAGGACCACTGCATAACATCACAAGGCGATCTGATGATAATAGACCAATGAACAAGAATGTTCATAGTTTATTTGCATATATCCTCCTAGTTCTGGTGCTGGTCCCGCTCATTAGCAAGAGATTGTGCAGTGTTGCTGTCTTTACACTGGCTTCCATCCGAACAATCACTTTGTCTGATTTGGCTTCGATTTGGTTTTCATAATAATCAAGTGTCAGAGTAGTTCAGTCCGAAGTTCCGAACCTCTGCATATGCAAGGCACACTTCGCATCAGACTGCATTGCAAAACAGGCTAGGTACACGTGGATTTCCTAGCAGCTCCATCAAGGTTGAATCACATGGATTTTGAAATCAGCAGCAGCAGCAACCATTCATGAAGTAAGTGTTTAGATACTTATTTTTCGATTGTAAGTAAAGGACATGCTATTCATGGATTGCATACTTCGTCACAATATTGTTTTGAATGTTCTCTTGAGGACTGACGTTGAATGTTCTACTACTCAATGCATTATCTGAGTCGTGCTGATGAAGATTTAGTCTCAAGTGCATTTTAGTGACTTTGAAAAACGATTACATTTCTAAAGAAGCCAAATCATTAGTAGGAAAAACTTTTGTCATCACTGTGATGTAGCCAGATTGACTTTAGATCAGGGGTATTCAAACTTTTCCAGTGGGGACCCCATTTTCCCCGGCAAAATAATTATTGTGACCCCACCCCAAATCTAATGACAAAACCTTAAAATCGGTACATTTAAATTTTTACATCAACAAATAACCTTCAATAATTGCATTTTTATCTCTTATCAAAATGAAAAGAAACCGATAGATACATTTACTCAATAAAATTGTATATCTCTCAAACTTTTGTATATTGTCCCATACAATAATCTGTAATCGTAATTAATATTATATCATACCTGCCAACTTTTCAAAAAACCTTGGAGTGAGATTTTGTCCTGGGTCCGCCTGGGTCCTGCAGTCAGTGAAAAGCAATTGCGCTGCCTGCGTCTCAGAACTGCGGCCGCCTTGATCTCATGAGGTTATCGTTGCCCACGTGTGCATGACGTCAGAGAAAGTCAGGATCAAGTCGGACACAAATCTAACCAGCATGCATTGGGCGGTGATCGCCGGTGATCGATTCTGCGCAGACCTGGCTCATCTCAAATGAGCCTCTTGTCTATGATCTGTCGGCATGGTTATACTGGCCTGTGGCCTTTTTGGAGGCCTTGATGATATCGGGGGGGGGGCTCCCATTTGAAGCAGGGCTCCAGATTGGCCATCTTTATGGTCATTATTGAGGACAGGGTGCCATCCAATGCTAGGCTGCTTCTTCTCTTGGTTTTGTTCAGTCCCACAACTGAAAACACCCTCTCAGCATCTGCGTTTGCATGGGGCAACACCAGAACAAGCTTGGCGACGGCAGCAAGCCTCTCGAATTCTTTGGCTCCTGTCACCTATGGAAAATGCACCAAAACACAATGGAAAAACATACCTTGATTTTTGATTGATTAATACTGTAGGTTGATCCATGAACAAAGTTCAGATAAAAACATGCATAATTTGCAACATGCATGACACATATATGCATGCAACAATTTTAAGCAACAGATGTAGCCAAGCAACACCTGCCAAAAGGAAAAACAAAAAAGGAACAAATGTTTACCTTATGCTTCCGGGTTGCCATTTCAGCCCAGAAGCTTTCCATTTCAGTTTAGTCCTGCAGGGATATCATTGGCATGGTCTGATAATTTAGAAACTCCTCACCCAGAAGGTCATGCTCCTCTGGCCCATGATATGGGAGGAGATGGGGAAACCTATTTATGAAAGTAGAGTTACAAGTTGTTACGTTTTAGGTATATAGTCATCAACCAGCAGCAGTTCATACACATCTTTGAGGAGAAGCCACATAAGAATATCTCATGTGCAGTTTAGGAGTGAACACACCTCATCATAAAACACAGGGTATTTTAGCTAAGATGATAGACAATAATTAGAGAAAAAAAACTAACCTTTCAACAAAGTACAGGACATCTTCGATGTCACTTTCAGCCCTCTGCCGTACATCTACAAATTGTGCGTGCTTGATCAGTGGCTCTTCCAGTGGCAGCTTCTTAAGTGCATAGTCCACAGCACTTGTCAGGAAACACAACACAGCTTCATGGAATGAATCCACCTGCTGTGGTGTGATGTCACCCTCGTCGAGTAATCTGTTAAGTTTAGCCCTGGTTGTGAACCCAATGTTCAACTTTCTTCCTGTCACAGAAACAGCATATCGGTATAAGGTACAAGGCTAAATATCACATATCACAGTGTTTGATCATAATAATAGTCAAATACTAACCTGGTAAATGGTTTGCCTTTTCTTTAAAGGCAATTTCACAAGGCTCCTCATGGCACTGCAGAGCTGCTGGAACCATAAACTTGGAACATAGCTTGCGTACGAATTTCACCATCTATAACAGACATTTACAAAAATAGTAGGTGAAACCTGTTTTAGAGGATCCCTGCAGATATCAGCAAGAAACACAGAATGGAAAAAAACAGCTAAATCCAATCCCACCTCATCATGTAACAAAAATATTGATGACTGCTCTCTCTGAAGCAGCAAGTTGAAAGAAGTGAAAGTTGGTACAGTGGCTTGGAAGAACAGCAGGTACACTTCTGTCATGGGGTCAGTGAATGTCTGCACAAGTCTCTTGAACCTGGCCTGATTTTCATCTTGAATCAATAAATAAATAACACAAAACAAGAGGTTGTCATTAATACAAGTATGTGACTAACAATCCATGTAGTTGCTGCATAATGAAATTGAAAATTGATGACCATACTAGCAGATTTGTAGTAGCTGGCCAGAGGTTCATACAGCCTCAGGATCCTGGTCACACAACGTTCAAGGCTTAGCCAACGGACCGAGATATGCAGGAGGACCTCCATGTACTCCGCTTCATGGAGCTCACAAAACTCTGTTTTAGACATTAAATCCA